GGAAATATCACAACAGACATTACAGAAATATAGAAGATAATTAGAAATTATTTTGAAAACTTGTGCTCCAATAAAATAGATAATATCAAAGACATCAACAAATTTCTAGAGTCATATGATTTGGCCAGATTGAATCAGGAGGATACACACAATTTAAACAGATCAATTTCAAGCAATGAAATAGAAGACTCCATCAGAAGCCTACCAACTAAGAAAAGCCCAGAACCCGATGAGTTCTATAAGACCTTTAAAGAAGAACTAATACCTATACTCTTCAAATTATTTCTTGAAATAGGAAAAGAGGGAGCACTTCCAAACTCGTTCTATGAGGCCAATATCACCCTGATACCAAAACCAGGCAAAGACACATCAAAGAAAGAAAACTTCAGACCAACATCTCTAATGAACATAGATACAGAAATTCTCAATAAAATTCTGGCAAATTGCATACAAAAACATATCAAAAAGTTCGTGCACCACAAGCAAGTGTCGTTCATCCCAAGGATGCAAGGTTGTTGTTCAACATAAGGAATTGAGTAAATGTAATTCATCACATCAATAGACTTAAAGATAAGAATCATATGATCATCTCAACAGATGCAGAAAAAGCATTCGACAAAATACAGCACTGCTTCTTGTTCCTAACACTAGAAAACCTAGGGGTGACAGAGCTCTTACTGTGAACTTTCAGGCTTGAGCCTGGACATGTGCCTCCTCCCGCTTCTTCCTTACCAACCTGTTCTCCAGTTGTGTCTTTGCTTGCTTATTAAAAGAGAATGTGTGTGTGTGTGTGCGTGCGCGCGTGTGCCACGTGCAAGTGTGGGGTGAGAACAGGAAGAGAGCGGGCGGTGACTGCATTGTGGGCTGAAGACCCCAAGTGTCCTGGTGCCAGGTCAGCCACACGGTGCAGCCCTCTGTCCAGGCTCCTGTGAGGTCTGTGGAGTGGCCCTTCCTGGATACCACCGCTAAGCAACACCAGAACTGCTCTGCGGGGACAGTCGTCATGTTAGTGGTGGGGACTTCCCCAGGTGACCAGGCGTGGCTAGAGGGTAGTAAGGAAGGCTTTCCAGGGGACATCAGTGGAGCTGAGTCCAGGTGGCAAGCTTGCCAGGCCAGGGTGCTCCATGCTGAGGTAGGGGAGATGCAGGCTACAGAGAGGGTTGGGTCCTTCCCTGCAGTGGCCATCAGAGTCCTTGGACACCACCCATGATGGGAGTCACGCACCTTGTAGGACAGGTGCACCTGACGTACACACAGATGTGCAGCTTGGAAACAGGGTTCCAGAAACAGCCCAGACCCTGGGATGTCCCTTGTGTTTTCCTTCTGTTATTTGATTATTTGATATGCTGCTCAAGACCCTTCACACCAATGGGATGGCTCTTAGAGAAGTGTAGTTGGAGCTGAAGACCGTGTGCTCAGGGAGCCAGGAGCAGGCCCTGTGTAGAGTGGGTGCTCAGAGGGCAGGAAGGGTGCTTCCTAGCAGCTGTAGGCACAGGCAGACCCCTCCTCAGAGGGCCCCCCAGAAGCCAGCAAGGAATTACTTTGACTGTAAATGGTGAAGGGTTAAAAAGTCGCGCACAGTGACACACACCTAAAATCTCAGAGGCTTGGGAGGCCAAGGCAGGAGGATCGTGAGTTCAAAGCCAGCCTTAGCAATTTAGCAAGGAACTAAGCAACTCAGTGAGATTCTGTCTCTAAATAAAATATAAAAAAGGACTGTAGATGTGGCTCAGTGGTTAAGCGCCCTGGGTTCAATCCCCAGAACCCCTGTGCTGAGCACAGGTGGGACGGTGCCCCCTATGCGGGTACCTGTGCTCACCACCATCTCAAGAGACAAGTGTTCCAGAATCCGTATTTTAAGGAGTTGTGTTGAACTTCAGCAAGTCCTACTTATTCTTTTGAATGTGCTTTGGAAACTCTGGGACTCCCTGAATCTCTGCCACTCTGTATTATGTCCCCTGCCAGCTAGGCCCAGGGAATCTGGTCAACATTTGCCGTGTTGTTGCTGGTGACAGGGGTGGCTTGGGGATGCTGCCTCCTCTTCCCCATTCTACCCTGCTCTCAGCACTTGCTCCCTGCGCAGTGCTGTCTCCTCCCTGAATCTCAGGTGCCTCCTGCCTGCCCTGTCCCCTCATAGGCACTAAATATTCATCCACATCACTTACCTGCTTCAGATTGCAGCCCCTGAGATGTTTCTTAGCTGCTTTTCCTGTCCTGGTCACAGGTGCTGGCGTTGGGAGCCCCTCAGGGCCACTCTGGCACTTCTCGTGCAGGGACTTGGGTATTGGTTTGTGTGAGGCATAACCTGTCACTTCCAGGTGTGTTCTTATAAATAGAATAAATATTAGACATGAAACAAAGGTAATTAGATTAATGATAATTGTGATTATTTCTTTGCAAATCAACCTCATCAGGAAAAGTTGTCAGCTGTTTCTCTGAAAGTATGTGACCTTGGAGGGGCACAGTGGTCTTGTCCAAGTAATATGGAAATGTGTCCCCATTGATTTTCCAGATGAGCACTTGGTTGATATGTAACCAGGTGCCAGGATCGAGTGGTGATCAGGGAAGTAGGAAGCCAGGAGAAAAGGGCCAGCGCCGGCCAGTGATCCTGTGGCCTGTTCGTAGGCCTTAGGAGCAGTTCCTGCAGAGTCTCTCTCTCTTTCTTCAGGTGCTGAGTGCAGAAATCAGGGTGCTGGGGAAGACTGCCATGGGGTGGGGGATTACCTGTGACCTCTAGTTCTTACTGCCCACAGGCGAGTCCCCAGAACACAGTGTCCACCAGCCCATGGCTCCTTGGAGGTTCGGGCTTGAAAAGTGCTTTTGGAATGTCTACGGGAGCTGGGAGAGGGGAGGAAACACCTCATGGGAGGCAGAGGCAATGGCCCAGAGACTTCCAGTCTCCTGCAAATTGCCAACAAAGCTTAGTGACCCCTGAGCTCTTCTGGGCATCCTTGGCGTTCCCTGAGGGCTCTTCAGGGCTGGCTGCCTGTCCTCTTGGGCTTCCCTGGAACCCAGCTTTGCTACTGCTCCCTCCTGCAGCCTCCCTGGCCTTGGACCTCCTGCTCTGACTTGCTGTGACTGGTTGCCGTCTGTGCTCTGCTACACAAGCTCTGTCCCCTCTCTCTGGGTCCCAACCCTCTGCTGCCACCAGCCTGGGTTTTCCAGCACTATCTTCTGATCCCCTGGCTTGGGCTCCAGCAGCTGCAGCTTTTATCATGAGACTGGCTGCCCTTCAGATCTGCCCCTTGCTTCCCATTTTGGTTGGCTGCTGCTCTCTGTGGTTTCATGGTTATCTAACGTCCGCACAGGTCTCTCAGTGTCTGGGCTCTGCCGCTGCTCTACTGACTCTCCATCGCGGGCTCCCAGGTGCCTACTTCCATGGGCCCGGAGGGCTTTCCTGCCAGAGTGCGTGTGCTTGCTTGCTGCCTGGAGCCGCGTCTCTGCCCGGTTGACACCCCCCAGACTGTGTGTCTGATGCCGAGCTCCCCCCCCCCCCGCCCCCTCCACCTCTGTACTGCGCCCAGCTCCTGTCCTCCCATTAACAAGCATGTTTGTCTCTGCATTGTCTTTTTTCTATAAACCTAAAACCATTTGAAAAAAATAAAGATTACTTTATAAGAAGTGCCTGTGGAACATCACCTTTATCTGTGGCACTGCTTGGAATGCCTCCTGCAGGTTATGCAACCATTGCCAGTGCTACAGCTCTGTCCCCCTCCCGGACCTCTGGTGGACACCACATGCCCATTGCCTGTCAGCACTTTGTTCCCGGCCTCTCCTGGGCCCCCGAGTGCCCTCTGATTCTGGGTGTGTGTGCATGTTTCCTTGCCCTCTCTGTTTAGCCTTCCAGACTCACAGAACCTGGGTTCTGTGGGACACAAGTGGGACAGGAAGTGAACCACCTCCTTATTTGGGAAGTTACATTCTAAGTTTACTTTCCAGTGTTGACAGTGTTTCTAATTGGTTGTGGCAATACACATTTCCTTCTCCTCCCCATGGGCACAGTTTGCTTCTGGTGTCATGCAGGGTTATGCTGTGGTGAGGGGTGGCCCATGGTGGGCATGGGGCATGGTAGGTAGGTTCTCAGACATGTATGTGGGTGCCTGTGAAGCAGGCCACCCCTCAGTGGCCCCACTGCTCACCGAGTGGGCATCTGCTCTTCCTCCATCCTGTGTGACAAGAGGAAAGCTGGAAGTGGACACTGCCATGTGCAGTCAGGGGCCAGGACTCTGTGGGTGAGAGTCGGGTCTTCTGGAGCACCAGCCTCTTCAGATGTGCCTGCCTGCCTGGCCGCCTTCCCTCTGAGAACCACTGGCAGCTTTGTCATTTGAATGTCTGTCCTTCCTGCAGCACCCGAGGGCTGACTTTCCTGCCCTGCTGTCCTTGTTCCTGTCCCTTTAAAGCAGTCTCCTCCTTGCCTCCAGCCTCACAGCTCTCCCATGCCCTCTCCGTGGAGGCTTCTCCCTCCTGCCTGCAATGGCCACTCTCCCACACCCTCTAGGGGGGCAGGGGGGGCAGGACACACCTCCTTCCCAGCCAGCACCTGGGGGTCCCACCTCCTCTGGCCAGGACCTGTCCCACAGGGAGTTGGTCCTCCTGCTGGGCTTGGAGGGGGACAGTGCAGGCAAGCCCCACCCTGCCCAGAGTGGACCTGGAGGCCAGTGGGCACTTGGTGGAGCCTCCTCCATGAGTGTGTTAATTACTGAGCTCCACACCCAAGTGCAAATTGTCGTCATTGCGGCCTTTCCCCAGACTGTGATGTCAGACATGCTGGGATTTGTTCTTTTCAAATGGTAATGACGGTGACTTCCCCCTGCTGGAGTCTGGCTGGGGCGGAGTTGGCTGGGGAGGTGGGAGCCAGGCTTGACTGGCGGAGCCGTTGGGCTGGTCTCCACACCTCTGGGGATAGGCCTCCAGGAGCCAGCCGAGTCTGCGGACATTGCTGTTCCCTGAGTGCTGTCATGCGGCCTCATTAACTCATGTCTCTCTCTCTTTTCTTTCAGTCTGCAACTGTGTCTGATGGTGGTAAGTTACGATTTCTGATGTGTATTTTTATTTTTTAATGAAAATTTTAAATCTCAAAAATGTATTTGCCATTTGATGTGCTTAAGAAAGATGTTTTCTTTACCCTTCCTTGTCCACCTGTGGGAAGCTGTCAGTCCTTGCTGGGGGCCACTTTCAGGTGGCTGTGGCCTGTGTTCCCCGAGTGAGTGGCAGATGGCTGCCCTGGGCTGTGTGGCATCGCATACCTGTATGACAGGTTGAAGCATGCTGTGCTGCTTCCTGGCCATACAACCAGCTGTTGAACCAGCCAGTTAGGATTTCAAAGAGCTTGATGAATTTGAGCAATTCTGGAAATTTGAAGGAGACTCGGTCAGTAAATGCCCTTCTAAGGAGAAGTTTAGTGGATGAACTGAGAGCATGGGTGAAGAATTGAAAACTTGCTTTCTGTCTTGAAGTGGGATTCTTTCACTGGGATTGATGCAAAAAGGAAATAGCCAGAAATGTCTTGTTTCACTTAGATGTCTCCAAAGAATCCTTATAATTTTAGTTCAGTGATTTTTTTTTAACTCTCCAAAATTGCCTGGAGAGCTTTGCCCCAGCCCCCTGGCTTCCTATAGTACTTGTAGAAACCCTCATGCTCACTTCTGCTGCTGTCTTCTGTGGTTTTGATATAATCTTCAGTCTTTGAGAGTGAGTTGCTGATGTCCCCACAGGTGCCCACACTTTATTTTCACTTCTGTGCTGGGTATGATGACAGCACAAGCTCCAGCTCTGGGACAGGTGTGGGAGTGAGGACTGTGAGTTATAGAGGAGCTCCATGAAGTTTTATGGAAACTTCTGGTTGTCCTTCCACGGCTTACTTCATTCCTGGGCCTTAGAGAGGGCTGGAGGGCAGAGTGTGAGACCGGAGGCAGCCCCTGTGTGGTGCTGGTGGCCCAGGCCTGCTGGGGGCACTCTGTGGGAGGTGTGGAATGAATGTGTCTTGAATTACAAACGTGCTACTACCTGGAGCCAGACCAGAGGGGTCCTGGAGCTCATGAAAGGAGTTGTGTTTCCTGTGTTCTGTGCAGTGCTCTGAGTCATTTAATCAGCCTTAAGCTGGGGGTGGGAAACTTCCTTAATACAAGAAAAGAGGCAGCTGTGTGTCTAGGCTCTGGCCGCCCTGGGTCCTCCACCTGCACCCTGCTCTGCTCGTAGAAGACATCCATGTTTGCAGGGAATGTATAAACTAGAGAGGCTCCTGAGCAAGTCCAGTTCAGTCATTATAAGCTTGTTCACCTCTCGGCCCCTCTTTGTCTACGGACAGAACCCTGGGAGTCTCGCTACAGCATCTTGCTGTAACTTTTACAAGCTTCCTTTTCCAAGCGTGGGAAGCCCCTGGCTGCTCGTCCCCCCCTTCCCCGCTCCCTAGGCCATCTCTGGGGAAGTGGTGTCCTGGCTGGTGATTCCCCTGCTGTTGCCCCTGCTCCTTGCCGCAGGCCCTGGGCTGCAGGGATGGGCCCTGTTGCTTGGTGGAGGTGGGCTCTGGCCAGGGAGGACAGAGGGCGACCATGCCTGGGCTTCAGAGCAGTGGTACTCAGCCATATGTTTTACTTCGTCGCTTTTAAAAATGCTAATACTTTCCCACCCTCACTTACTTTTCTGATTGTAAGAGTGAAAACAAAGTTGCCTGGTTCAGAGTACCTGTGAATTTCACGAGGACTTATTACCTGCCATTGTTCCAGGTAGGGACACTAAGGCAGAGCAAGAAGTTGATGGAGGTACAGATACTGGGGACACTGCTGGGGCTCAGGCCTGAGGAGTGCTGCAGGCAGCCAGGCCCTCTGCCCTCCCTGCCCTGGTGCTCCTCACCCTCCTCCGCCTGCTGGGCTTCAGGCCCTGTCCCAGTGCTACCTCAGCCTGGCTTGCTGCGGTGTCCCAGAGGCCCCCACAGGCATACGCACAGAGGGCTTGCAGAGAGGGCCAGCGGAAAGAAGCGCTGAGATATTTTTACAGTCCTGGTCGGTGGTAGATTGAAGCTCATGCAGGGGGCCTGGGAACCGCAGTATCATACTGCTTCTGTGGGAAAAATGTGTTCCAAACGCCTGCAGGGGCTGGGAGCAGCCGTACAGGGCCTGCTCACATGGCAGGGCAGGGCAGGGCAGGGCAGGGCAGGGCGCCACTGCCTCCTCACCGCTGGCTGTGGTGACTAATGGAGTGCCGGCCGCGCCAGCCAGAGGACTCGGTCTGCCCCCTTGGGCCCTGGCCCGTGTGGTGCTTCCCTTGGCCCTCCCCCAGCTCCACAGCTCCCATCTAAGGAGGTGGACAAGGCCTTTCCTGCAGTCTTGTCAGCAAAGGGGCCTTCAAGGGCTGCCTCTGGGGCCAGAGACCACCTGGGGAGGCAGGAGAGGAGGGGTCAGAGCAAACTGCTGCAGATTCTGGCTCAGAGAAGGAAGAACCTTCTAGTATTCAAAGGCTTCCCAGTGATCTGCCTTGTGGGAAATTATCCAAACGGAAGGTGAGGTCAACCTGGAGGAAGGTCTCAAGTTAAGAACATGTAAAATGTGGGACAGGTGTGTGGGCCAGCCAGGGGCTGCAGTGGCCTAGCAAGCACCAGGCTCTGGGCCGGACTTGGCTCTGCAGGGAAAGCAGAGAGGAAGAGAAATGGGGAAGGAGGTGGAGGGCCGCCCTTTGTTGATGCGAAGAAAAACCTTCCGATTCTCTGATTTGGGGCTTTAGCACACAGCGCTCGATTGCCATGGAGCTCAGTCTGCCCCGAGGGCTGGGGCTCAGTAGATGGAAGTGGCTTTCAGGGGACCGTGGCATGTCCATGGGACATCTTTGTCTAAGCCGTGCAGTTGCCTGAGCTTGCCTTCCGCTTTCTCTCCAGGCCTGCGACCCCACAGTCTCCCAGCCCTGGTTCCTGGGTCTGGGCTCTGCCCAGCCATGGAGCTTCAGCCCTTCCACACAGACCTCTGTCTCTGCCTCCCTGTCCGGCAGTCCATCCACCGACCTCTGCAGTCTCCCCAGGGCTTTTGCCTTTTCTTGCTGGGGTGCTGCTGCCCCACTCTCCTCTCCAGTGGCCCCTCAGACACCCAAGGCCTTGCCCTTCCCACTGCCCCGCTCTTCCCGTCCCCAGAACCTGCTTCCGCCATCTGCCGCTTGCTCTGAATTGTAGCCCACCCTGCTGTCCTCCCAGCACTATTGGCTGCGGCCCCCTCTAGACAGTGGCCTCCATGAGGCAGGTCAGGGCTGGCCATGGTGCCAAGTGCAGGGGCAGCACGAGAGCTGTGCTTGAGGACGACTGTGCTGTGGTCAGCCAGAGCATCCAGGCACCTCGGGTGGGCGGCAGCCTCAAATGAGCACAGGTGCAGCTCCTCTGGCTGGATGGAGCCTGGGGCGCTGCCCTGGCTCTCCTGGCCATGGCACCTGTCTTCCTCCAGGTGGCTGCTGCGGCTCAGTTGGCCGGGGACACCTGTCAGTGAAACCTTTGTTTCCATTCTTCCTTGGCTTTCCCTGCTTTTGCTCTTGTCTTCCTGGACGGTCAGGACAGGCCCTCTTCCTGGCTCCCGGGCAGCTGTGGCTGTGGTGACAGGGCTTGTTTGGTTTGGTTTTGAAATGGAAGCTTAGTGGGAATGGAGAAGTCGATGGTGGGCATGCCGTCCTGTTTTCATCCCACCTGCTCCTAGTGTTCCGGGCGCGGCCAGGGCTCTCCTCCAAACTCCCGAGCAGACCTGATGGGGCTGAGCCGCCTCTCCTGGGAGTGGAGAGCCTCACACTCCAGGTCTGAGCCTGGTGACTCCTGTCAGGTGCCTGTGAACAGTGGGATCTGGACAGGTGTGGGGATGCACACTCCCCCCAGGCCTGGCACCCCTCCTCCGTCCCACAGTACAGCCCGGCTCCGTCCTGGCCCTCCCTGGGGCCAAGGCTGTTTTCCAAGTGCTTTATGTTTCCAGTTTAGCTTCGGCTTTAGAAGTGACTCATTGTGCTAGGGGTTTGAGATTTGGAGGTCTCCCCTTAACTTGTGTTGCTGTACCCAGACAGCCTCCTTGGGGCCCTTGGTTGTCCTTAGAGTGACCTGATCTGCCCCACTCCATGCTGGCCTGAGCTCCTTGACTGCAGTTCCATGCTGGGCTGTGGGCTGAAGATTTGGGCACCACAGGAAGCCACAGCCCCAGGCTGAGCTCCAGAATCTGTGAGGGGTGCCTTCCTCTGCGCCCCAAGGCTGAGGAAGTCCTCCCAGCAGGTCCCTGCTGCCAGCGGAGCACCCTGGGGTGGCAGGCCCAGCACCTTCAAAGATGGCTGCCTGGTGGTGGAGGACGGCTCTTGGTGCTGGAGTGACTTTGAGGGAATTAAGCTGTGTTCATCTTTGAAACATATAGTAGAGTATTATAGTCACTGATATTTTGGGCAAGTGACTCTACATTCTGTTAAATCATGAAAGACAAAGGGAGATATAAAAAGTTTGAGAGCAGCACCATGGCTGTGTATATAGAATTACTTAGTGAATTCACATTTTTTTCTCATTAAAAAAACAGAGAGCCTAATTACACACTTTTCAAAAAATATCTGCTAAATAGTAGAGATGGAATGTGAATTTGTAACACATCATGTGAAAGCATTGTTTCAACCCGAGCCCTGTGTGTGGCTCCCTGCATCATGTTCTTCATGGTTGCTTCTGGACTTCTGGATGGCTCAGCACGCTGTGGCTACCGACAGTGTGTCGCTGTGTGCTCAAGTCAGATGGGGTTTCTCAGAGAAGCATGGAGGCCTCCTGGCGTCTCATTTCTTTCTAGTTCTGCAAGATTTTGGAGGGAGTTTTTATTAATAGTTATATCACGAAAGCATTTTTTTCAGGCAAACAGACTTTTAAGAGTAATAAAGCCAGTGACCACGTGGACGTCTCTCCCTCCCTCCCATATGTAATGTCTGCACATTGGGCAGGATTGCTTCAGGACTTGGTTCTACAGCACTAGAGTGACTGTGGAGTCCCCTCCTGGCTTCATTCCCCATCCTCCCTAGAGACCCCACCTGGATGCAGG